CAAAGAGAGCCGGGGGGAGAAAGGTTTACCCAGGAGGAGAGTTTAACAGGCAAAAACCATAAAGTGCATTATCACATTTAAGTGATTAATTTAAAAAAAAATGCCTCCTGAATCTCAGCATATTGCAAATATGAAACTGTCAACCTGATGTTGATGGACAGATTATTCCATTAGGCTTAATTAGCTTGTTTTGTCAGAATTTTAACTTTGTGGTGGCCTTGCCTTTACTCTGCCAGGTAGGATACTGACTCTTAGGAAGTGATTGCTAGGTTTTATGATCCAGCACAGAGACTGAGGACTTTTGAACAGCTTTCATTTTGAGTAAGTTTTTTTTGGGGGGGTGGTAGTGGCGGTGTCATATTTTTTAAGCAGATACCCAGTGCAGCAGCTTTCATTTTCCACTCAGGGCCACTATCAGCCTTTTCTAAACCACTCTTTGTCAACTGCAGGAGAGACCTGCACACAAGATGATAGGAAGAAAGACAAGTTCATTGCTTAAGTACAGACTAAAAGCTTCTCCAATACACATGATGGCAGGACCATTTGATGCTCCTCTTGTAGTATTGCATCTCTACACAGAGGCTACTTTGCCAATAGCTCTCATTTTAAAGGCTGATAGAGTTTGAGACGCTATGGATTTTGGAGAGAAAATACTGTTGACTAAGGGTATAGTGCTTGACTCCAGAATACATGAATAGATCTATAACAAAATGAGGCACAGGAGCAGAGAATTGCAGTTTACATGGATTTAACTACTGACCAACTCCTGTTTGTATGGGCACCCACTGCTATGGAGAAAAACTACTAATATCTTTCAAATCCAGACATGACTTCATATCCTAAGGCATGTGCCATCTAACTGTACCTTTCAAAGCCAGAATGATCACTCATGCTCTCACAGACCCCAAGAAAAAGCCACAGCCACCCTGAAACTTCTATCCACAACTGGTTTGGCCCTGATGAATACCTGGACCACAGAATGGATCATGGAACTGGACCAAAGAGAATGTAACATAGCAGAAAGTTTGTGAGCCCTGGCTGTGCAGGAGAAGGAATGCTTCAGTGCTGCCAGTTATGAGAAAGAGTCATCCAGATTGATTCATTCACATTCACCAGTTTTTGTTACCATTCCTGATGGGGCTTGTTGAGCACCTACACTTCATTTTTATTGCTACTGGCAGTGATGTGACCCTCCGCACTTCACTTAGTAGGGATACAGAGAGCTTGTCCTCCATGTTGCCCAAGGAACCAGAACAGACTTTCTTCTTTATCCACCAAAAGCAAAGAGGGGAGAATAGGTGTCTTGAACTGACCCTTTAAAAGTCCCCATGTTTGTTTTTACTTCACAAATGCTCAACTTGCACTCAACAGGCACTTTGTCTTCACTTCTGTGCTTTAGGTATTTTTAAATTTAAGAACAGCACTACTAAAAAGAATTAATTAAGGACCAATTAATTGTGAGACAGCAATGCTGACATCTTGGGTTCACACAGCATCTCTCTTTTCCTTCTGATTGTTGCAGACTTTCCTGCCCGGTAAAAAACTCACCAGAGTCCTGGTACAGGAGTCTCAAGAAGGACGAGCAATCCGAGGGAATTTTCTTTATTCTACAGATCTTTATTTCATTTGGTCAGTACAGTGTCACAGGCAACTCAGATAAAAGAGGTAACTGCCCAGCTATTGACCTTTGCTGAAATTATCTTTTTTTTCCTTTCTTTTTTTTTTCTCTCAAGTACAGCTACGAGAGGAATATATGAAATCTACCAGAGCTGAACTGCAGTAGAACAGGAAAGCTACAGTTTTGCCTCACCCTTGAAACACAGGCACAAAAAACGTACTATGAGATGGAGTAACATAAAAATATTGTCACGCCTGCCACTGCAGTGGGAACTCCAAAAGTTGGGGAGCTGCAGAGAGAAGATGTCCAATTTTAGGAGGTTGCTCCAGTGTTAAGATACATCTGGTAAAGTGGCCGGAGACTGCATGGGTCAGAGAGTTCCAATTCCAACCTTTTATGTTGTAGGTTAAAAAACTGCAAGCTGCAGTGGGGAATATGGATCACTGAACACAAAACCACAAGCAACAGAAAACTAAGAACACGTATGTGCTTGACCTCAGCACTGTTGCCTGTAAGTTGTTCTCAAACCAACAAAAACATTTCAGTGGCTGGAAAAGATGAACAGGCCTGGTTGCCAAGTCATGGCCTGAACTATTCCAGGGGGCAGAAAAGACAGCTGGACTGCTGGTAAAGAACAAGGCTATTTAAGGAGGCTTATTCTGGCCTAATGGAAAATGCAAGGATATAATTATCAATTATTTTAAACTAAAACATTTCAGATCCAGGAAAAAAGACATCACAAGGAAGCACAAGAGAGAAGCTGGTTAGATTCAGCTGGCAGCTCAATCCAGGTACAAAAAGAGCAGAATGTGCTGCTCTTTAGAAGCAAAAAAATGAGATGTTTTCCACAAGATGGTGATTCTGGAAAGTGCTTCAACCTGCAAAGCAAACTGAATGCAGCTGCACTGTTGTTCCAAGCGCTGACACAAAGCTGATCTGATCACAAGGGTCTGGGTTATCACAAGGCAGCCACAAAAGTGGCCAATGGAACAGAGCTAAAGAAATTATTTTTAAATATATGGCCATATGTTTATACCTACAAGTCATACTGATGATCTGCTTTCTCTTTCAGCCCTCTGGGCAGCTGCTCCTTGTGTGCTGCACAGTGTTTCATATTAAGAATTCCTATGCAAAATTCTGGCTGTCACCCAGGATGCATGTTACAGAGCAAACACCAAGCCAAATAAACAATGCTCCTAGAGTCTCTGTGAGAAGGGCCCAATACACAACTGTCGAGGGGGACTCAGAGCTGACATATCCTAGAGAGGTAAAGCTCTTAAGCGTGACTGTCAAGTGTAGCCTTGTCTGCTGAAAAAAACCCCACCATTACTGAACTTACCACCATTCTTTTACCACTGCCTTAGTCACAGATTGTTAATAGCCTCAGACTTCTGAATCGCTGCCCCATCAGATGCTCAGAAGTCACAACAGCATTTAACACGATTTGTAATGAGGGAGGGCAGCAGAAATTTTTGTGGTTTTCTTTAACAGGAATGCTCCGTTCAGAGCACAATGCCGATTACAAAAAAGGGCCACAACTCTGCTTTAGAATTCAGTCAAAAGTGCAAGTTTAAAAGAATTCTCAATATATTTATGTCCTGTTCCTTAACACCTCCTCTGCTAGCAGTTACATATTACAGCACACAGCTCTATAAATACAGTGACAGCCCAATAGTTGAATGTCATGCTATATGATGAAACTTTTACAAGAACATTCCCCAGGACTTCCCAAAATTAACAACTCTGAACAGCTTTTGTAATTCCTATTCAGGACTGAAGCAGATTAAATCTTTTAGAGATTTAAATACACATGCACCAAAGAGTATCTTGTTTGCACAAGTGTTAGAGTTTGCACTGCAAAGCTGTAAAATGACTGTGGTGCTTATTCACATCACAGGATGTATTATTACCTTCTGGCTTCTAACAAACCAACAGTACTTGATTTTGAAGGCCAGAACATCCTTCTGTCTTGTTGAATCTCCTGGGTCAAGCATAAGTGGATGAGGCAGGGAAGGGTTCCAAGATACAACATAGGAAATTCAGCAGGTATAAACTGGATCTGGAAATGAAGTTGGTGATCTAACATGCTGCTGACATAGCAGCTCAGATGTAAGAGAAAAAGTAAATCGTCCTTCCTAGCTCTCTGTGTCAGTGGAGGCGCTGTAGGGTATTTTACAGTAACCCTCAGGTCCCAATCAAATTTTCATCTGAATGGTTTTATTTAGCCTCATAAAATCCCACTGAAACTATGCTGGACATAACACTCTACCCATCTATTCCCACAGTACTATACAGTCAGCTCCGTGCCTCTAGCCCGGCTGCATGTATTAAAGAAGCTTGGGGTTAGGACTGTAGTGTATCGGAGTCAAGGTCTCCACTAAGAGAATCAGGGCATTTAAAGTAACTGCACAGCCCAGGCAATATTCCTGTGATGGGTAACTGACTGCCACAGGACATCTTGGGTCAACTTCCATTCCTGGCCACCTTGCCGGAGTGGCTCGATGGACAAGGCAGGACTGGGTATTCATTCACAGTTGGCATTTTGCACCAATTGGATTTTATTGAGTGAGTCCCTCTCCAGGGGTAATATATTAAAACAAAAAAAAAATCTGACTCTTCTGGTATAAAGGCATGTTACAATTGCCAATAGATACAGAAATGCAGTTGCTGGCAGTCCTAGGAAAAGCAGCTACTACTTAAGGATGTCTATAGATACGTAACACAGGTGGCATTTCCAGAAAACCCAACTGGAAATCCTAGCTAGAAAAAAAATTATCTTCAATGCCTAAAATCCGATATGACCAATACCAATTCTGTGGGCTTGGGGAACTAGTTGATTCCTGCCTAGGTTGGACAAACAGTTCTTGAGATGACTGAACACTGTAGTTTTACTTTTCAGCTGTGGAAGGATTTGTTCTGATACTTAAACTCACACTGAGGGCCTCTGCGTGCAGACACAGGGAGAACTGGCGAGCAAAAGTTTTACTGCTGCACTGGTATTAGAAACATTCAGAAGTGACACTGTTGTTTTGTTGGCTAGCAGCTGCACGGAAAACTCTGGAAGGATATATTGATAAGCCCCATGTTCCAGGAACCTCTGACCCATCTCAACTTCTATTCTGACAGTAAGCACAATTCACTTAGGATACGTGAGGATTGGATCAAATCTGAGAAGAGTTCAGTTAGGCCTAAGGAAGGTGATGCCAAGCAGAGAAAGGATGAAAGCCATCGTGTACATGACACGCAGCACCAGAATGTCCAGTTTTGTGTAGTTAGCCCTGGAATTGTTGACCTGCATATAATTCAATGCATAACGTGTGTCACATGCCCCAGGATGAAACCAAGGCTAAAAGCTACTGTCATCACAGGCACTTTAACTTACCCATGAAGAAATACTCTGGAGACCTTTTCTCTGAAGCAAAGTCTGCCATAGCCCCACCAAACCGCAGCCATAGACCAAAGGCAATGACAGCCATTCCTGCCAGCTGGAAGATAAACAGACCAGTCAATACTTTAGTAACAATTGGCTGGAGAGCATCAAAGAGGTGTCATTGGTACCTTTTGCTTTCTTGAAATCCCACAGCTCGGGATTGCACTGTCAGAAAATTCAGGAAGCACTTGCCCGTGTTTGGTAACAATGAATTCCTGTTATAGTGCAATGTACTCCTTTCTTTCAGCTCTTCAGTGTAGTGGTGCTTCTGAACTTACTAGTGACTTTCAAACCTTGTAAGTAAGCGGATTTAGTCATCAAAACTTGGCCTGAATTGCAATGGGAAATGGAGTGGGAGCTGAGGGCCGGGGGAGAGGGGAAGTGAGTGCCCATGAGAAGAACGGACAGGCTGCAAATCCAATGAGGAACACTCTGCCCTCCCTCCTCACCCTCAGAACTGCACTGTAGTCAGGCAGCATGCAGGAGGCAACTCAGGGCCGGGGTCTGGAGTCAAGATGCTGTTACTGTAGGAAAAGCACCTGTGCTGGTTTTGGCTGGGATTAATTAGTTAATTTTCCCCATAGTAGCTCCTGTGGGGCTGTGGTTTGGATTTGTGCTGAAAACAGTGTTGATAATACAGGGACGTTTTTGCTGTTGCTGAGCAGTGCTCACACAGCCTCAAGGCCTTTCCTGCTGCTCACCCCACCCCACCAGCGAGCAGGCTGTGGGGGCACAAGGCGTTGGGGGGGGACGCAGCTGGGACAGCTGACCCCAACTGACCCAAGGGGTATTCCATACCATACGATGTCATGCTCGGCATATAAAGCTGGGGGAAGGAGAAGGAAGCGGGGGATGTTCGGAGTGATGGCGTTTGTCTTCCCAAGTAACGGTTACGTGTGATGGAGCCCTGCTTTCCTGGAGATGGCTGAACACCTGCCTGCCGGTGGGAAGCAGTGAATGAATTCCTTGTTTTGCTTTGCTTGCATGCATGGCTTTTGCTTTACCTATTAAACTGTCTTTGTCTCAGCCTACGCATTTTCTCACTTTTACCCTTCCGATTCTCTCCCCCATCCCACCATGGGGAAGTGAGCAAGCGGCTGTGTGAGGCCTCGTTACCGGCTGGGGTTAAGCCATGCCAGCACCTTATGGGGAAGTGCCGTGTGACAGGAGTTAAGCCCTGCTGGCTTGGCACACACCAAACTTTTAGGACAGAAGTAACTTAATTGACTTTTTTTTCAACACTTGTAGCTGGTTTAGGGCTAAATAACAGCCTTTTGGGCTGAGAGGTGCCCCCTTCCCTGGTATGTATCACAGGTCCAGCTCCAGTGTCATGGGATATATGATGCTGTAGAGAGACCAGCTGGACCTCTAAATCATCATTCCAAACTACAGGAGACCATCTGCCATTTCAGAATTGCTGCTGCTGCTCAGTTGTAAGAAGGGTTCTGTTTAGAGGCTTACCAGAAAGAGAAGCTTGTATTGTTCTTAGGGATGTGCTGAAGTTAAGTGTTTGGACCAATTATGACAGGCCATTTTTCTGTAAATCACCATGGGACCCCCTATCAGAACTAGGAGGTAAAAGGATTATTACAGTGTACAATATCTTGGATCACAGAAATGACTAACAAAAAAGTGATGGATGCTGTCAAATGCAGGGAAAAATACCCTTTAATGCAAACAAGACTAGATCAAAAAGGAGTGTCAAGGCATGTTGTTTGAGGGGAAAGATCTATAGACAGCGGTGTCAGACCCACCACATGCCAGACATATTTATAAGCCTACCAGGCAATGGTGCGTGTCCTGGCAGACAGCTTCAGCATCCTGCAGGACCAGGCACAACGCGCTGCTCCCGTTCTGATGGAGACCCAGAGCTTAGGTCTGCAGCAACTGCGCAACCTGAACGAGGTTCACAAAACACCTGCTGCTTACCATACCCTTGGCAGCCTGGTGTGGTGCTTTTTTAATCTGTCCTGCATTGCCTGGCACTTGATTCATCTGCCATAGCTACAGCAAGCAAAGAAAGCAGGCAAGCATATGGCTGAAGAGCTTGGGATCGCAGGTTTCCTCACAAAAGTGTTATAGTACAGAGGGTGAGGGTCGCCTGCCACCCTGGTCATAGCATTTCAACCTCCCTGCTTGCAGGCATGGGCTCAGCCTTTGGGCTGCCAGAGCACCCTAGGAGCCCCCTCCTGTGGGTCCAGGCTTCCAAGTGCCTCTGGTAGTTTGGATGTGTTTGAAATGAATGCTGAGGAGATGGCTTCTTCCATCTCAGTGAAAAGGCCGATAACAAAACACAGTAATTGTCACTTTTGTGAAATAACATAACACAAAGCTTTGTCCTTCTACTGACTTGCAGCTGCAGCTGGGCAACATCACTCTGCTCCTACAGCTTGAGCACAGCAGCACTGTGTACCCGGAGCTTGCAGTGCTGTCACCAAGAGGGAAAAGCATTTGGTTTAACTGTGTTTCAAGCATAAAGGAGACAAAAGCCCAAAACCGCTTGCTCCAGAGAGGCTGAAGAGGATTACTTTGTGACTTCTTTTTAAAAAACAGTGAATAAGAAAGAAAAAGAGATTTAAGAAGATAGCATTGCTAATTGTTTTCCAGTGTGAAAAACTGTAAAGCTACTGGAAGGGAGAACACGGCGTGAGGGAAAGTGGAAGGAAAAAGCAAGCTTGAATTCAATTCTGCTACAGAACTGTGAGACTATTAAAAAGGTGCAATGAAGGGGAGAATGGGCATAGCATTCTCTAAATCTCGAGGGTTCTGCAGTAGCCACTATTCATTGCCATATTAGGGTAGCTTTTAGCAAAGTAGGTGCAATGTGATGCAAGGACTTTCTCTTAGGATGAACTTGTAAAAGTAGCAGCTGTTGGCTCACTATTTGAAATTACATTATTAAAAAGCATCGTGATGCTGTGAAGAAGTGTTCTGCGGCAGTACACTGCATGGGATGCTGGGAGAACCTCACAGCCTCCTGTTGTTTGAAATTTTATGCTTGTTAGGGAAACGGTCACTAAATTATCAGTTAAGAAAGATGTCGTCTTTTCTCAGCAATGTCATCTTCCGTCCTAGTGCGTGGTTTCCCAGGAAGAACGGTATCTTTATAGAAGCGAGTAAACGTCGGGAGCAGTGCTCGCCTTCCTGCAGCGCTGCCCCGGGGGCCCCGCGCACCCCCCTCAGAGCTCGGCCCT